GCCTGATGGGGCTTTACCTTCCTCAGGGCCCTGCTGTGGAAGGCGAGAGAGGACGGACTGGGGCTTCGAGCTTCTCGTGCCAGGTTGAAGCTGGGAGAAGTGTTTGTGACTGTTTGTCCAGTCAGCCTGCGGATGCTCTGAGGGCTCTGTGGTTGAGTTGTATGGATGTTAGTATTTCCACAGGATGTAACAAGCCACTAGTAAGTTTACTTTGTCTTATTCCAGCCGAATACCAGGCAAATGTTTATTCCGTATAAGATTAAAATCCTGGCTATGAAAATTTCCTGAAATATAAGAACCTGTCTGGGGTTTGGAGATACTCCACTACTTTTTCATTTTCCTTAGTTTTTAAGCTTCTTTCTTGGTTATCATTGGTTCAAACTATAGATTTTGAAGCCCTAAGAATCTTCCTGATCGGATCTTAGAGACAGTGATGGCCTCACAAAAAATGGTTTGTAATGTGTCTGCGCCACCCAAAGTGGAATGGACATAATGTTTTATATGTAGACAGTGCTTTGTAGTCTTTCAAGCACTGGATAAATTATGGTTATTCTCTCCACAAGCATGTTTGAGGCTAAATCCGATGAGATCTACGCAGCACTGTGAGCCTGAGCGAACAGTGCTGGTATTTGTCCGTGATGGTGCCCGTTAACTGGGAGAAAGGCAGCATGCAGGATTAAATATCCCCAGCCCTGCACTTCCAATGAGAGGAAGAGCCTTAGTCTAACTTTGAGCTAGATCTTATCCTAGAGAGAGTTCTTGTGTAGGAATACTATCAGGTGAACTCCAAATTAAAGGTTGACACGGGCCACTGAATTCCTGGCTAATGACAGGCAGGACCAGACTTAGGCATGAGCTCTTGCCTCCTGAGTGTGATTTCAAGGGAGTCTGCCTAGATCACTGCACTCAGCTTCTCTTCTGCCATTCTTATCACCACCACCCCGTACACATACCCCCAGCTGGCTGCAGTCTGGACCCAGAGAGCCATTCTTTCAATGTCTGGGTAATGAATGCAGACACCCCAACAGAAGTAATACTTTAAAGCATCATCAGTCATTTAGACTGAGTAATGGGTTTAGCAGGTCCGTTCCTCAAACACTTCGTTATTATCCTCTCCATACCTTACCACTCTAACAAGTTGCTCCTCCAGCATGGAAACCTGTACCAGATGAGTAATAGATTATAACAAGGGGTCTGCTTCAGGCAGACATGCTACCCGGTGAGAAGAATGACAGCAGAGCAGGAAACAGGAAGCAGATCCGCATCATGGGCTGTTAGTGTCGGGGTAACCATCTGACACACTGAAGTGGCCTAGGGCTCTGTGCTGTGTCACAGCAGATTCACTCATGATGTTCTTCAGTCATCGTGTTTGGTTTACTGTTTCACAGTAGGAAAAATATGAAATAGGTTCTGTGAAGATTTCCTTCCAAAACAAAAGGAAAAGTTTGGTAAAGCCCGATGACTGCTCTAGGGCGATCTGTTCTTTGGTGGAGCAAAGCAGCAGAGGCATCCGCGTGTGTGTCCATTGGCTCCTGACAATAGGGCGGTACTTGCATGGCGCGTTGTTTCTAAGCTGGTATTCGCCACAGCCTGGAGACGCTGTGCTGAGCAGTGGGGATGGGGCTGGGGACACTGCAGGGTCGCTGACACAGTAAATTGTTCCAGCTAAATCTTCTCCCCCCGCCCCACAGGAGGGCCACCCAGAAGAGCCGGAGGCGGAGGAGCAAGTCCACGAACAGCAGCCGCAGCAGCAGGAAGAGTACTGAACCGTCTTGGCAGCTCTCGACGCTTCCATTTTGCGTGGGAACTTTTCTTCTGGAAAATTGGAACACGTGTGGCCTCAAGCTCAACAGAAACCAGTTGTTCCCAGTCTGCCGGTAACATCAACGCACTGTCGCATACGCCAGCCACTGCGCTCAGTTCCCATTTCCTTTGCCAAGACACATTAGCAGCCAGTCATTTGGCGGCCTCCCTGAGAGATCATGGGGTCCCATACCTTCAACTTCACCACTTGGCTGCGTGAAATTGGTTCTGCTCTTTTCATTTCTTTCCAGAACAACTCTCCCCACCCCACTACCACCACCAACACCCTCTTTTGATCCTGGTGTGAAACAATGGTAATTTGATATATGGTATTTATATTGGCATTTCTCAACCCAGTGTCACTAGATGTCACACACATTTGTGGTGCTTTGATGTTTGCAAGTCTAACCTCTGAACGTAA